TAAGACATCTTAAAGGGGGGCTAAAATACACTAAATAGGATAAGAAAATCAAAAGGGGGGTTACAAGACACACAGGTAAAGAGGCTTTTTTTTAAGGGGGTCAGCAAAATGCATCTTTGCCTGTGTAGCCAAAAATCCTTTCACCGACGATGGTTCTAATATACATCCAACTTTAGAGCCTTAATAGTAAAATAAACAGACTTTATTTGGTGAAACACAAGGCATTATGGCATTCTAGAAGGAGACAAGAATATGTGAACATTAATAACAATGATGGCACTAATCTGTAGTAAGTGTAACAATTAAAAAAACTCAACTCGGAGGTGTGCATGCCTTGAACAAAATACTGCATGTTAGCGTAAGGTGAATGATGTCAAAGTAGTGTATAGAACCAGTGCGACTCACACATGTGGCTACCTACAACATCCAGCAGGAAATGGGTACAAGATCATGTGATAAGCAGATGGTGACATAGCTATGCCGACTATAACTAAAATAAGTCACTGAGCAGCAGGAAGTAGAGGCACATTTGGCGTATTTGGCACTCGGGATGGAACTATCTGTTGCAACCTCGATTGGAAATCCTTAATTGTTTTGTGTTTTGTACCGCCCAGGGGCGTTTTAGCCGCGAGGCAAAAAAGGGATTTGCCTTAGGCGGCATTTTCCAGGGGGCTGCAAAAAAAGCAGCCCCCCAAATGCCCAGGGCAAATGCATTGTTAGCCTTGCGGCTAACAACATGCTGGGCGCTGGGCGGCAGCTGGCAAGGGAGCTCTTCCTCTGAGTGGTCTGTTCAGCTCCCTCGCGCTCCGCAGAGTGAGGCTGGGAGTCGGGTTGATGACGACATATTCGGGATCCCAGCCTCAAGGTGCAGCGCGCGAGGGAGCTGAGCAGACCGCTCAGGGGAAGAGCTCCCTCGCCAGCCGCCCGCCCAGCCCGGCAACCACTGGACCCCCAGGGAAATAGAGAACCCCCCTTACCCTCCAGCATTCCCAAAGGTAAGGAGGCTGGAGGGGGGGGGGGTTAAAAAAAATACATGTGTTAATGTGAGTGAGTGTGTGTGTGTCTGTTAGTGTGTGTGTGTCTGTTAGTGAGTGTGTCTGTGTGTGTCTGTTAGTGTGTGTGTCTATTAGTGAGTGTGTCTGTTAGTGTGTGTGTCTGTTAGTGTGTGAGTGTGTCTGTTAGTACCCACTTATAGCACATAGCTAGGTCCAGCCCGCTACCCGAGCAGTAGACCTCTGTGTCTATTAGTGAGTATGTGTGTCTGTTAGTGAGTGTGTCTGTTAGTGAGTGTGTCTGTTAGTGTGTGTGTCTGTTAGTGAGTGTGTGTGTCTGTTAGTGAGTGTGTGTCTGCTAGTGAGTGTGTGTCTGTGTGTGTCAGTGAGTTTGTGTTTCTGTTAGCTAGTGTATGGGTATCTGTCAGTGAGTGTGTGTGTGTGTGTGTGTGTGTATTTAGAAGGCGGGGGGAAGGGATGGGTGGGGGTCGCGCACGGGGGGGGAATGGGGGGCGCCTGAGTTTTGTCCTGCCTAGGGCAGCACAAAACCAGGATACACCACTGGTACCGCCTTTTGTGTCTCTTTGCAGCCCATCACCAACATATTTTTATCACATGGTTGTATTTTGTTTTATAATCATATCATGTGACAAAAAGAATGGTATCTGTATTCCTTTGAAGGGACACTAAATGCCACAGACTACTTCATCTCAATCATTGGTCTCAATGCTTCCTTATGAGAAGCATTTGATTGGACGACAGTGGTGCTTGCCGCACATGTGCTTCTTATTCGCAATGTTCTATGAGAAGCATTGGATTGGATGAAAAGCCAAGGAAGCGACACCTGTAGGACAAGGGCACAGTGCGTGGCAGCACAGAGAGAGTCTAGACATTGGGAAAAATATAAGCAAAACTTTTTTTTTCTTTTTTCTAACTCAATTTAAGGGGACCTTGAATCTATATAGAGAGAAGGGTGCGTGTTTGTATTCTAAAATCTTTAGTGTTCCTTTAAAGAAACACACCAGTGAAAATGGAGATTGTGTTTTCCTTTAGTATGTATGAATTGTGAGATATGCTAAACAGACAGCACACATTCTTGGACATTGAAGGAATGACTTGCTCATCTGATTCCAGAATGAATGAAAATAGGTCTCCTGTCCCTTTAAGGAGAGTGAAAAAGCTGTTTTTCATAGAAAGGTTAGACATAGATTTAGACTAGTACATTAAGGGATGAGAACCTCCAACCTCAGATAAAACTAATAAAAGAGCAGGGAGAATGTGTGTAATCTGCAGATAAGAAAGTATTAACAAATCATATGTTCTGGGCTTGCTCAGGCAGACATAGACAATGTGTCTGCAGACTGGATGCTGTGCTATAATAAATGAAGTGTTATATCTCACTATCTTAAACTGAAGGCATAGTGCATTACCGCAATGTGTTTTCAGTAAAAGTGTAAGTTATATGTACAATACTTTCCCAAGGATTTGTTTACATCCCTATTAGTGAA